TTTGTTTTGTTTTGTTTTGTTTTGTTTTGTTTTGTTTTGTTTTGTTTGGCGGGGAGCACAAGTGGAGGAGGGGAAAAGAGAGGAGGACAGAGGATCCGAATTGGGCTCTGCGCTGACAGACTGACAGCAGCGAGCCCGATGTGGAGCTTGAACTCACAAACCTCAAGACCATGACCTGAGCCGAAGTCAGATGTTCAACGGACTGAGCCACCCAGGTGGCCCCAAGTTTGAGGGTTTTTTAAGACCATAATATTCATTCTTTTTAACAGCATACCTGAGTTCAATGGTAAGAAAATGATGATATGTAAATGAGTGATTATATAAATAAGTGCTTGAAAAGTTTTTTTTCCCCTGAAGAATGTTGAATATGCCTCCTCCCACTTTGTGAACACCATCCAGGATCTTAGCAAAGTCTCTGAGGTATGGAAAAAATGCTACAGGCCTTTCCTTCATGGCTCTCACACATTCCAATCACTAAGAGCATCTTAGATGCTCTAGACAGAAATCTCTACTTGGCCACTAGGCATTGCTTCAGAGGGGTAAGATTAATGTCATTTAGTTAAGCAGGAGAGAACGGTTCTGTAAAATAACTCAGGCCCTTACAGCAATTCAAATTACCAGCAGCCTCATAAATAAATGCAATCATATCAATAAACAACTGGCAAAGCATCAAAAAGTGAAGTCTGAACCGATCTTATTATACCATTTGGCTTTCAGCTACCAGCTTTTGTGCAAACAGAAACATATTAATTGGTTAATTCATAATCTTTTAAGCTTGGAAGAGCCAATGTGCTATAATTATTTTTACTATCCCTTCAATATATAGAACCAACTATATAAATTCAAACTATCGGATTTACTACAGGTTCTGGTAAAGAATGAGTTATTAGTTCATGTTGGGCTGGGTTATTATTATTATTATTATCATTATTATTATTCCATCCTACACTAAAAACATTAATTACAGTACCCTTGAATCAATTGGACTTCTTTTCTCTCCTTCACCACTTTATCTAATCAGTCACAAAATCCTGTCAACTCTCTTTTCAAATGTGTCTAGAGTCTAATCCGCCACTCTCATGAGCACCATTCCAGACCAGGCCGTCATCACCCCATACTTGGTTTAGCACAACAGATACAGGGCATGTACTATGACTCACCACATTTTTCAAAACCTGCTAATCAGGGGCCAGCTCAGGTCATAGCCCATGGAGCATCGAGCTCCCTCTCTTCCCCTCTGTCTCTCTCCCCACCCTGTCTCTCTAAAATATAATAAGAGGCACCTAGGTGGCTCAGTCAATTAAGCATATGACTCTTGATTTTGGCTCACAGGTTCTTGGGTTCGAGCCCCAAGTCAAGCTCTGCTCTGACAGTGCAGACCTGCTTGGGATTTGCTGTCTCTCTCTCTCTCTCTCTCTCTCTCTCTCTCTCTCTCTCTCTCTGCCATTCCCTTGCTTGTAGTCTCTCTCTATCTCAAAATAAATAAATATTTAAAATAAATAAATAAATAAATAAATACAACTTAAAAAATAAAATAACCTGCTAATCAATCTGATGTAACTATCTCCCCATCTTTGTGTCATTGCAAACCTGACCCAAGTTCTTTGTACTCAAGAGGTTTTTAACCAGGTTCATGACCAAGACCTGAGGTACTCTCCTAGAGATCTTCAAGTTCCCACCCTTATTTGGTGCAAACAGTCCTAACCCACCTACCTGTACTACTATCCTGCCCACACTCTTCCATATCCCATTCATCCCTTACAAATGATTCTATTAAATTACTTGCTGAAACTCCAGAAAACCGTGTCTTCAGCATTTCCTCAATAATAACTCCTGGGTCTCATTTGTGGCACCCTTTCCTCTGCTAATCTTCTAAAAGATAGAGTACTCTGAACTCAGGACTCCGCATTCTTCTTCTTTCTACTTTTATTCCATCTCCAGATGATCTCATCCAGTTCCATAAATATCTTACCGACCGACAAGTCCCAAATTTGTATCTTCAGCCTTGCTCCTTCCTGAACTCCCAACTCAAATATCCGACTATACACATAAAATTTTTCCTGAGAAATCGAATAAAGCATACCCAAAGGCTTAACCCATTTCAGCAAATGGTTATCACCATCCAATTACTCAAATCAAAAACTTTGAATTCACTTGCCTCCCAACATCCAATCCAACAATATACCTCTATCTCTCTGAAATATATCCCAGATCCAACTTCTAGAACCACTCTATTGCTGCTACCCTCATCTGAGTCATTAACATTTCTCACCTGGATTATTTCCATAGGCTCCCAACTGGTGATGAGGATCTGTCACTTACCCAAATATTCATTCAGAATATCAGACCTCAATGAAAAAGGAAAGAAGGTTAACTTGACATGATAAGTATTTAATGAAACTCTATTGCTGTTAGAAATGACCACTTTGAGGGTGCCTGGCTGGCTCAGTCGGAGGAGCATATGACTCTAGATCTTGAATTCAAGCCCACCTTGGGTATATAGATTACACACATACATAAATACATACATACATACACAAACGAACAGATAATCTTAAAGAAAGAAAGAAAGAAAGAAAGAAAGAAAGAAAGAAAGAAAGAAAGAAAGAGAGAGAGAAAGAAATGACCACCTTGTTTCTTTCTTTTTTTGTCCTTTCCTCTTTCTATAAGTATCTCCCTCTTTCTTTCAGACTCCTTTTCCTTCTCTCCCACTCATCTCGATTTCCTTTCTCTCTTCCTCTCCCTATTATTTTCCTGAACAACCAGGCCAAGAGTATAGCAGGAAAATGCTAGGAGTTAGAAGTAAAGGTTTTATTCCTGTGGTCTGTCATGGTGAAGGAAAGTAATTATGATGAAGTCAGTTTATATTTCTGGCCCTCAGCTGTCTCATCTATTAAATAAAGAGATTATAGTGGATGGTCTCTGAGGTCCCTTAAAGTTCTAGAAATCTATTCAAGGTATTTATTGAGTAAAGTGCTATGTTCCTTGTTCTTAAAAGTAGGTAAATTCAATATTTTATATTTCCCTGAGGTGAAAAAAGCAAATTAGTTTTTTTTACAAGGCCTTCAATTGATCCTTTTCTACCAGGGGTCAGTGGCTCTCAATAGAAAAAAAAAATGCACCTCTCCCTTGGTATAGTCTAAATGTTCAATATTTCTGTAGTTATTTCTGTCTTTGGGCCCTCCTTGGGACAAGCAGTTTCCAAGAAGAGGCCAATAGGCCACTTAATATGAAGGCTATTAAGTTGTGTTCCAGGCTCTATGCTAAGCCTTTTTTTTCTCAATCCTTGAAACAAGTCTACATAAGGTGGGTGATATATTATCATTCCTCTTTCACAGAAGAGGAAAGAAACTAAGGCACAAAGAGGTGAAGAAATTTGTCTAAGGGAAGACAGCTAATGGGTGGTGGAGCCAAAATCTGGACCCAGATCTATCTGACTTGAAAGCCAATGCTCTGAAAGATTACCCTATACCACCTCCTTCCAGAAATACTACCGGCAGTCTATCCTTGCAGGTGTCTGTCTTCTGTTGGACTGACAAAACATGTGACCTCTGATGTCCTGGAGACCCAGCCCACCCTCTACCTGACCCAACAGGATCAAGCACACAGCAAGGGTTTTAAAAGCAAAGATTTGTAATTTCTTATGGTACTGGTACCAGCATGCGGGCCCTCAATAGACACTGTTGACTGAGAAAGGCCATGGTAAGAAGCAACTCATCATCTAGGACCACCTAATGCAAATTCTAGTGATGTAAAGTAAAAGGTTAGGCTAAGAGAAAGATTGTACTAGGACTAGAGATATGGTCAGACTTCCCAGAAAGTCTAATTTCCATGACCTCATTATCATTTGCAGAAAATCGAGAGAGCTATTGATAGCCCTAGAGAATTACTTTAGAAAATGATAGAAAAATTGTTTTAATTAAGACTCTAGGTATTTAAGTGAAATATCAGGTCAGCACATTTGTGGAAGTATTTCCCTTTTTTAAAAGGCTTCAAAAAGTCTTCAGAAGTAGGATTTAATTTGCATGACCATGTCCTGAGCAATATCGGAGCAGAATCAACTCTCAGGGGGTCTTTTGTACTTAAGGATGCATGGATTTTCTGGCCTGTCACTAAGAGAACTGTGTTTGGGAAGAAGGAAGACCCTTGCTCAAGTAGGCTACTGAAACACCAAGATGTCTTCCTGGGTCACTGGTTTGGTACTGATAAAAAAGCAAAATCTGTAGCATTGCACATTGGCATTCAAATGTCCACAACCCATCTTTGGGATTGGTTGTCTAAATCTCCTTAAAACAAAGAGTTCTAGGTGGACGGAAAGATCCAGACTACCCTTTGGGTTGTTCTTGACTTAGAGAACTAGAACACTGGTGAGGAAACAGAGAGGCATCAGCAGACCGGCATAACAGGGTCATCAAGGTGGTGGATAGGAACTCCCAATGGAGGCCAACCAGCCCCAAAACAAAGATCAGCACAGGGAATAGCAGAAGAGATGTTTGAGAGATTGAGATTCTCAATGGAGAAGATGTGCATCAACAAGGACCAGGCCAAAGAAAGGGAAAGAGCTAGAAGGTGAAAAAAGGAGGGAAAGTTTGAGCTCCCAATGGTTTTGCTTGGTAAGTGCTCAGGGTCAAAATTATTTATGACCTTCACCCTCAGCTTAATCTTCCAAACCTGTCCCCTCAAATTGGCCTGATTTGGAAAAACAGAATTAGAAGCATTGTCAAGTAATAGTACTATTTCTGCAGGTGAAATGCTTATTCTGGATATTTCTTCCCTTTCTTATATTTCCTGATAAGAATATTTTTCCGGCCCATTTAAAAAATGGCACAAATGCAGCCTGTTTCTGATTTATAGACACATTTTCTTTTATTGTGCTTCACTTTGTTGCGTTTCACAGATACTGTGTTTTTTTTACAAATTGAAGGTTTGTGGCAACACTGCATCAAACAAGACTCTCAGCACCATTTTTTCTAATGGCATTTGCTCACTTTGTATTTGTCACATTTTGGCAATTCTCACGATATTTCAAACATTTTTGTTATCATATGTGTTACGGCGATCTCTGATCAGTTATCTTTGATATTACTATTGTAATTGTTTTAGGGTGCCCATGTAATTGTTTTGGGGTGCCCATATAAGACAGCAAACTTAATCAATAAATGTGTGTGTTCTGACTGCTCCACCCACTAACCAATCCCCCATCTCTGTCTTTCTCCTCAGGCCCCCTGTTCCCTGAGACACAACAATATTGAAATTAGTCCTAATGAATAACCCTACAATGGCCTCTAAGTGTTCAAGTGAAAAGAAGAGTCTCACGTCGCTCACTTTAAATCAAAAGATAGGAATGATCAAGTTTAGTGAAGAAGGCATATCATAGATATGATAGATTGAAAGCTAGGCCCTTTGCATGAAATAGTTAGGCAGGCTGTGAATGCAAAGGAAAAGTTCTTGAAATTAAGTGCTGCTGCAATGAACACAGAAATGATAAGAAAGCAAAGCATGCATCAAAAACCTTAAGATACCTAGGGATAAACCTAACTAAAGAGGTAAAAGATCTGTACTCTGAAAACTATAGAACACTTATTAAGGAATTGGAGAGGACATAAAGAAATGGAAAAGCATTCTGTGCTCATGGATTGGAAAAACAAACATTGTTAAAATGTCTATACTACCCAAAGCAATCTACACATTAAATGCAATCCCTGTCAAAATACCACCAGTATTTTTTGCAGTGCTAGAACAAACAATCCCTTTTTTTAATGTTTTATTTATTTTTGAGAGAGAGAGCATGAGCGAGAGAGGTACAGAGAGGGTGGGGAGGACAGAGGATCCAAAGTAGGCTCTGTGCTGATAGCAGAAACCCAATGCAAGGCTCCAACTCTCAAACTGTGAGATCATGACCCAAGCCTATGTCAGACACACAACTAACTGAGCCTCCCAGGAGCTCCTAGAACAAACAGTCCTAAAATTTGTATGGAACCACAAAAGACTCTGCATAGCCAAAGCAAACCTGGAAAAGAAAAACAAAACTGAAGGCATCACGATTCCAGGTTTCAAGCTATATTACAAAGCCGTGGTCATTAAGACAGTATGGTACTGATACAAAAACAGACATTTAGGTGAATGGAACACAACAGAAAACCCAGAAATGGACCCACAACTGTATGATCAACTCATCTTCAACAAAGCAGGAAAGAATTTCCAATGGAAATTCAACAAATGGTACTGGGAAAACTGGACAGCGACATGCAGAAGAATGAAACTGGACCACTTTCTTACACCATACACAAAAATAAACTCAAAATAGATGAAAGACCTAAATGTGAGACAGGAAACCATCAAAATCCTAGAGAAGGAAAGAGACAGCAACCTCTTCGACCTCAGCCAGAGTAACTTCTTATGAGACATGTCACTGAAGGCAAAGGAAACAAAAGCAAACATGAATTATTGGGACTTCATCAGGATAAAAAGCTTCACAGCAAAGGAAACAGCAAAACTAAAAGGCAGCCTATAGAATGGGAGAAGGTATTTGCAAACAACATATCTGATAAAGGGTTAGTATTCAAAATCTGTAAAGAACTTATCAAACTCAACACCCAAATAGCAAACAACCCAGTGGAGAAATGGGCAGAAAACATGAAGAGACACTTTCCACAAAAGACATCCAGATGGTTAACAGACACATGAAAAGATGTTCAACATCACTCATCACCAGGGTGAATCAAAACCACAATGAGATGGGGCACCTGGGTGGCTCAGTCAGTTAAATGGCCAACTTCAGCTCAGGTCATGATCTCATGGTTTGTGAGTTTGAGCCCCGCATCAGGCTCTGTGCTGACAGCTTGGAGTCTGGAGCCTGTTTCAGATTCTGTGTCTCCCTCTCTCTCTCTGCCCCTTCCCTGCTCATGCTCTGTCTCTCTCTGTCTCGCAAAAATAAATAAATGTTAAAAAAAAAAATGAGATACCACCTCACACCTGTCAGAGTGGCTAAAATTAACAACATAAAAAGCAACAGGTGTTGGTGAGGATGTGGAGAAAAAAGGTGAGAATGCCACTCTGGAGAACAGTATGGAGGTTCCTCAAGAAACTAAAAATAGAGGGGCACCTGGGTGGCTCAGTCGGTTAAGCATCTGACTCTTGATTTCAGCTCATGTCATGATCTCATGATTTGTGAGTTCAAGCCCCACATAGAGCTCTGGGCTGACAACAGGGAGCCTGCTTGAGATTCTGTCTCTCCCTTTCTCTCTGCCCCTCTCCCCACACCCTTTTTATCTCTCTCTCCCTCTATAATAAATAAACATAAAGATACTAGAAATAGAACTATCCTACAATCCAAAAATTGCATTTTTAGGTATTTACCCAAATGATACAAAAACACGAGTTTGAAGGGGTACATGCACCCCAATGTTTATAGCAGCATTATCAACAATAGCCAAATGATGGAGAGAGTCCAAATGTCCATTGACTGATGAATGGATAAAGATGTAGTATATATATACCATGAAACATTACTCAGCCATCCAAAAGAATGAAATCCTGCCGTTTGCAATGACATGGATAGAGCTAAAATGTATTATGCTAAGCGAAATAAGCCAATCAAAGAATGATAAATACCATAGGATTTCACTCATATGTGGAATTTAAGAAACAAAACAGATGAACATATGTGAAGGGGCAGAGGAAGAGAAGAGAGGGAAACAAACCACAAGAGACTCTTAATGATAGAGAACAAACTGAGTTAACAGGGGGAGGTGGGTAGGAGTTGGGCCAGATGGGTGATGGGTATTAAGAAGGGCACCTGTTGGCACGCCTGGGTGGCTCAGTCAGGTAAGCGTCCGATTTCTGCTTAGGTCATGATCTTACAGCTTGTGGGTTAGAGCCCTGCGTTGGGCTCTGCACTGACAGCTCAGAGCCTCGATCCTGCTTCAGGTTTTGTGTCTCTCTCTGTGTCCCTACCTTGCTTGCGCTCTCTGTCTCTCTCTGTCTCTGTCTCTCTCTCTCTCTCTCTCTGTCTCCCTCTCTCTCTCTCTCTCTCTCTCTCAAAAACAAATAAACATTTTTTAAGTTTTTTTTTTAAAAAAGGGCACTTGTTGTGATGAGTCCTGAGTGTTGTATGTAAGAGATGAATCACTGAATTCTACTCCTGAAATCAATATTGTACAGTATGTCAGCTAAAATTTAAATAAAAAATTAAATTAAATTTTAAAAAGACAGCAAAACAGCCTTATTGCTGATATGGAGAAAGTTTTGGTGGTCTGGATAGAAGATCAAACCAGCCACAACAGTCTCTTTAGCCAAAGTTCAATCCAGAGGAAGGCCCTAACTCTCTTCAATTATATAAAGGCTGAGAGAGGAGAAGAAGCTACAGAAGATGCGT